GCAGGCTCAGATCAGGCCGGCTGCTACTTCTGGAGTTGTTTTAAGGCCGTGCCCATTGGAGCAGGACTGGCTGCAAAAGACAGCTTCGGAGATCAAGTCCTTTGGCATGGAACAGGCGCTTTGCGATGTTGCTTGAGCTTCCAGTCTGCGTTCTGGATGGCAGGTCAGTTCTTGGGTCCAGGCGGCCTTGCAAGTGGAGAACTACGCCGACGAAGCGCAGCAGGTTGTTGAGATTTTGAAGTCCCAGAAGGTGAAGGGCACCGCGCTCCTGGACTTCACTTTGGACGACATGCAAAAGATGCGCATCTTCATGGGGCCGGGCAAAGTACTGTGCAAGCGCATCGCTGCCCTAGCTGCCCCGGCGGCCGCGAGCGGATTCCAGGCCGGGGGGCACGTTCTTGGTCAGTTCAGCTTTGCAAGGGGCTGCGCCCTGCAGGCGAACACAGTGCAATCGGTCATCGAGGATGGGGTGGGGGGGGGGTGTTGCGAGGGGAACCATTGTGTTTGGCGGTCAGACGCTCCCGCAGGAGAAAGATCTCGCTCCTCAGCTGTCTGAACTGAGCGTCCCCTCATTTAAGGTACAGGAGGGACAGACACTTGCGGGGATCGAAGAGTGCATACGAGACTGCATGTCCTTGGTCCAGAAGTACATCAACGAGAGCGATGAGACTGGCCCTAACCGCGTACCACCCACCTGTGCAGCAAGATGCGCGCGAGGTGGGAAGACCACCTTCCTGCAAAAGCTTGGCGAGGAACTGGCAGGGGCCGGTTACTTCCCCATCTTTACGTCCTTCAATGGGGAAAGCCCCGTGAAGCGCCGGGAGAACGAGCCAGCCGACCAATGGCTATACAGGACTATTGCATATGCACTGCTCCCGAGCGACAGTTTACTACGTCAGGATTTGGCCTCGAAGTTCGCAAAGAGGACGTGTGAAGAGTCGACCCTGGTAACCTACTTCAATTCGAAGGAGAAAGTTGTACTGCTCGTCGATGAGCTGAACCAACTGTTGCTGAAGAGTGATGACGAAGCAGAAAAGAAGGCAGAGCAGCGAGCCTCGCGCTTCATGAAAGACGTCTTCCTTGGCGTTAGAGGTAGATACATGGTCTTCACCTCCCACATCCAGTCCACGGGACTGGACCTGACCCAGTACATGGAGGGCACGTCCAGCAGGGGCCTGGCAGTCACAGGCTTGCCACGGGTGGCCTGTCTTGAAGATCTGCAGCGCATGTCGTCGAAGTTTTCCGGTTTGACGCACATGCGCGCAGCCTACTACTCCAGAGTCCCAGCGCTCATCTGGACCTCACACCATGGTCCAGACCTTTTGCAACAAAAATTCGCACAAATCTACGAGGACCCGAATTTGCACCTTTCTGCCTTCCTGGCGGAGCTCTTCACAGGCACCCGGATGCCGGATATGAAAGCTTTCCAGCAACTCACAGATGGAAGCATTGGAGCAGAGAAAACAGTGTGGATACCATGCTTCATGTCCCACTTCCTTTTCCAATGCCAGACTACCTCGCCTGCCTGTGCTGTTCTTTCACGGTGGCTGCAAGGCATGCGTGATGCGGAGCAGCATGATGGCAAGGCGTGGGAGAAGATCATCGCTGTTGCCTTTGGCTTGCGCTACATTTGGAGTCGCATGGGAGGCGAACGCCACGGGTGGCTGCATGGACACGATGGAGCGTCTATCGAATGTTTGGATGCCAAACCGACCGCGACAAGTGTCGACGAGGCAATTCAGATGCTGCCACCGCCAAATCAGTACCCAACCCTGCAGCTGGTTCTGCCGAAGCACAGCAAGTTCAAGGCGATAGACCTCTTCGCTGTGAGGCGAGAGAAAGGAGTCAAGGCTGAGCTTGTTATGGTCGCACAGCAGAAAGAAGGCAGCTCCAGTATAGGAACAAATCTACCTCCACATCAAGCAAAGTATGCATATTGGTTGAGAGGATCCTCGACGCTGACAAGAAAGGTGACAGGCACATGGTACCAGCCCTCGCAAAGCGAGATTGACGAGTTCTTAGGACCCTCGTTGGCAGCTGCGGCGCCAGCCACCTGGCGGGATTCGTAAGCGTCAAACGCTGCGCACCTCTCGAGCATAAATTGGAGTACTCTGCAAAGGACTTTGCTTCTGATGCCTCTTTCCCTTGTTTCCCTCGCGCGGTCACTACCACGCATTCCTGTTCGGATTAGGGTTATATCGTAGTGCGGTCAGCCACAGCCAGCTCATCTGTTCAGGTTGGCCATCTATGAGATTGATGTTGTCATGCCACCAAAGGACAGATGAAACCCACGAACACATTCAGTAGAAAACTAGACAGTCAACTATGTTTCTTGGTTCCTTCCCACAGCCGTCGCCACAAGTGAGCCTTTGTTCCAGAAGGGAGTCGGGGATCATTGATGGCTGGATTCATTCATTCAGCCGCTTTCGCTCGACAGCTATAGAGCGAGCAGAG